CCCGCCTGGATGCTCCTGAGTAACATGCTCTAGCTCTGGGCAATCCTGCTTCAGCAGGGGAGTTGGACTAGATGATCTCTATGGTCCCTTCCAACTCTAAAATTCAGTGAAATTCAGTGAAATTAGTGCTGAGAAGAGGAGAAGGGATCGAGAAAAACCTTCTCCCTCCCACCAGAGCGATGGGAGAGTCCTTCCTGCTGCTTTACGAGGAGCCCTGACTTGTCTCACACCCAGCCCACGCGTTGTGCTTCCATGGGAAATCCCAAATAATCCCTGTGAACCACCACCATCCATCTAAACACCCTGAGCTACAGGCAGAACAGCAACGAGTGACTTCCCTGGCTCTTCTCCCCCTTGTGCTTCCAGGGGAAATCCCAAATAATCCCTGTGAGCCACCACCATCCATGTAAACACCCTGACTACAGGCAGAACGGCAACGAGTGACTTCCCTGGCTCTTCTCCCCCCGACCTACACTCAACTGAGCATCACTGCTCCCAGCCCTCGTGCACTCACTAACGCGGGAGCACGTGTGGGAGGAGCAGGGCCCCTCTGAGAAGAGCACAGCTCGTTTTTATTCTGGGATGGCTCTGGCAAAGCCCAACATCCTCAGAAAAACACGCAGGAGATGACAGCAATCAAAGCCAGGAGCAGGAATATCTACCTCGTCTTCCTTGGAGTCATCTACGTCTCCTTCCACTTTCTGCTTCTTGGCCAGCGGCTTTTCCTCCTCTTCTGCGTCATCCCTCTCTTCAGTAACAGCCTCTTCTGCAACCTGACCAGCAGGTACAGTTAAAACTGAAAAATTAAAAGGTGACAAGTTATACAGTGCCAGACACACTCTCGCACAGATGTTTCCCAAAAAGCCTTCTCCGAAGTCAGTGCATCAGCGCCGTTGGGGAAAAGGAGAGAGGAGAGCTGTGGAAGGAGAGAAGAGAGCCTTGAGTGCTGTGTCCAGTTTTGGGCCCCCTCCCATAAAAAAGACATTGAGGTGCTGGAGCGGGTCCAGAGAAGGGCGACAAAGCTGGTGAGGGGTCTGGAGAATAAGTCTGATGAGGAGAGGCTGAGGGAGCTGGGGGTGTTCAGCCTGGAGAAGAGGAGGCTGAGGGGAGACCTTCTTGCTCTCTCCAACTCCCTGAAAGGAGGG